AGACTGCTGGTGTAAACCAAAGCGAAGAGGTAACTGATTCTAATGTAAGCAGAGAAAGCCAGGAGGTAACTAGAAGTAGGCCTAGATATCAGACAAGGAGATCTTTGCAAGCGCTGAAGACTGGTGTTGAAAATTCAGAGTCTGACAATTCAGAGACCAGAGAAGAAAATGGTAAACGGCGGCGGACCTCAAAAAGTAAACCAAAAAGTGCTGATCTCTCCGGCAAGGATGATCATTCTGCAAGTACTATGCTTTCTGAGATGGAAAACAATCCTAAAGCAGAAACACTTTCTTCTCTGAAAAATATAGAGCCTGTTTCAGGAAAGGACCTTGAAGTAGATGGTTCTCAAACTACAGGCTTGGACAATAAAACTTGTGCAATTGTTATGGAAAATGTTGGTGCAAATTCAATTATCCTAGATAAAGCTAGCTTGGAACCTGTGCATTCATTATTCCCTGAGGAAAACAAAACATATGATATCACAAAGAATGACCCTGAACCCTCCTTATCTACAAAGGAAGAAAATAAAACTTACGATATCACAAAGAATGACCCTGAACCCTCATCTAAAAAGGATTATAAAACCTTTGACATTACAAAGAATGACCCTGACCCTTCATTAGGCACTAGGGAGGAAAACAAAACCTATGACATTACGAAGAATGACCCAGAACCTTCCTTTCACACCAAAGTAGAAAACAAAACGTACAGCATTACAGAAAACGCCCCATCTGTCTGTAGCACAATACAAAGTTTGTTGACAGAGCCTGCAACCGACGACTTCTCAACTGCAGTTTCTGATGTTTTCCTGCAGTCGGAAAGTAAGTTAGCGGAGTCGCCTGATTGTCCCCATAAAAGGAGTAGACGTGTTAAACGGTCAAAGAGTTGCGATTGTTGTTCTGAAATATCGCTTAATCAGCACAAGTCTGTTACAGAAGAAACTATTAAAGCGAGAGTGCCTCCCAACATTTGTGTTTCAAATGTGTCCTCTGCTGATTTGCAGTTTGATGATACGCTCTTTTCTGGACCATGTGCGGTTAGCACACCTCTAGTAATGGAAAATAATGATCCTTGCTTTTTCAAACCCAGTGTTAGTGATGTCAAATATGATACAGAATCAGAACAGGAGCACACAGTGGTTCCATTAAGTGAAGGTAGCCAAGCAGAAATAACTCAAGTATGTGTCCTTACAAAAACTGTTGTGGATCCTGTATTGCCTGAACTTATAGGTGAGGAGTCTTTAATTTCTGTACAGTCAGAATCTCAACCTGAGAGCACCAATTTGGAAATCAATAATGCACAAGCTATATGTGCAGATAATGAAGAACCTCCTGCATGGAATGTAAACTTGGTTCCAATCAACTGTAAGACTTTTGAGGTAGTAACAACTGTGTCTACGATGGAAGAAGTCAATGAAGAGATGGAATCTGAAATGGACAAATCTGAAGTTGTAGTGGAAAATGATTCCTCAAAGACTAAGCCAATGGAAGAGTCTGTTAGTGCTTTGGAACCGGACAGTTCGATGGTCAGAGTCCAAGAACAACTTGAAGACATGCCTGCTGTTCAAACAGAAGAATGTTCAGCTCCTGCTGAAATAAAAAAACATGACATTGAAGGTGTCCTCGATGGAAGGTTTGACACAGATTCTCCTCCGAAGATTAAAGGATTAGTAGCTTTAACGTCTGCTAATGATAGTCCTAGTGGATACTGCAGCTGGTCACCGTCTGCATCTCCATCGACTAGCATATTAAAGAAAGGCATAAAGAGACAACAGGATAATGACTCTCCGTCACCAATTAACAAGGTAACACAAACCCCTTTCTTTCAGTGATTAATACATTGCTGGGACAGCAGCAAACTTAGCTAGAATACTGTATTTTATTTCACTAATTTACTTGTAATGAACCCACAAATCGTGTGGTCATGGCTACTAGAATACTAAACTGTGTTTTTACCTTTTTGTAACATAACTAAATGCGCTCATATGTCCTTTTCTCCGACCTGCGTGTTCATGAGCCTTATTTAAGTGGATGTCCATGATCATGTAGGTCATATCTGTGTAAGTAACTGTGGGGGGGGAAAAAAAGCAATGGATGGATCAGCGCTTGGTGGCGAACTAGAAGATATATAAAAGATCGGCAGCAAAAATCTGGGATTATGAGGTTCCCTCAAAAAAAGTCAAAGAAAAGAATGGTATACATTCGGATGGTTATTAGTTTGCACGACAAAAATAATTAAAATTATGTATTCTAAAGAGTATAAGAAATTGTACTTACAATAACAGGCCAAACAGAATAGTTACAGTGCAAAATTGTAAAATACAGGAAATAAGTCCAGTATACGAGGTACTTATGTAGCTCTGTATCGTGAAGGTCTTGGGATAGTTGTGTATCTTGATCCAATTAGGACATAAAAAGGAAAAGAACTAAAATGGTGTAGTATGTCACAGGCACGTTAGGAAGTGTAGAATACGTTGTGATCATACTAGGGATCGACCGATATTGATTTTTTAGAGCCGATACCGATAATCTGCGAACTTTCAGGCCGATAGCCGATATCTTGCCGATATTCTGTACATTTACTATTTTGAATAAATAAACTAATTCGAAAGGTAAATGCACAAAATATACATGCCACATGTAGTGGATGAAGTGTGTTTAGACAGGGGAACTGTGTGTGTAGTGGATGCAGAGTGTGTGTTTGTGTAGTGTGTGTATAATGAATGTAGTGTGTATATAATGTAGTGTGTATATAATGTAGTGTGTTTGTGTAGTGTGTGTGTGTAATGCAGTGTGTGTGTAATGCAGTGTGTGTGTAATGCAGTGTGTGTGTAATGCAGTGTGTGTGTAATGCAGTGTGTGTGTAATGCAGTGTGTGTGTAATGCAGTGTGTGTGTAATGCAGTGTGTGTGTAATGCAGTGTGTAGTGCAGTGTGTAGTGCAGTGTGTGTAGTGCAGTGTGTGTAGTGCAGTGTGTGTAGTGCAGTGTGTGTAGTGCAGTGTGTGTAGTGCAGTGTGTGTAGTGCAGTGTGTGTATGTAATGCAGTGTGTGTATGTAATGCAGTGTGTGTATGTAATGCAGTGTGTGTCTGTGTAGTGTGTGTCTGTGTAGTGTGTGTCTGTGTAGTGTGTGTCTGTGTAGTGTGTGTCTGTGTAGTGTGTGTCTGTGTAGTGTGTGTCTGTGTAGTGTGTGTCTGTGCAGTGTGTGTGTCTGTGCAGTGTGTGTGTCTGTGCAGTGTGTGTCTGTGTGTGTTTGTGTGGTGATGTAATTTGTGTAATTTTTTATTTAAATTTTTTTAAAATATTTAAATGTTTTTTTTTTAGTCCCCCCCCCAGTGTGTTTGTGTAGAGTGCGTGTGTGTTTGTGTAGTGTGTTTGTGTGTGTGTGTGTGTGTTTGTGTGTGTAGTGATGTAATTTGTGTAATTTTTTATTTTAATTTTTTTTTAATATTTAAATGTTTTTTTTTTGTTTTTTGTTTTTTTTAGTCACCCCTCCCTGCTTCTTACCAGGGAGGGGAATATAGTATTCCCTGGTGGTCCAGTGGCTTGTTAAGTACAGTGGTGGCTCAGCAGGAGCAAGCGCTGACTTACCTTGCAAGCAGCTCCTACAGCTCCCTGTGTAAATCTCGCGGCTCTTAGTGCCGCGCGGAGCGTTGCCATGGTAACCCGTGGCAACGCTCTGCAGCCGCGGGTCTCGCGAGATTTACATAGGGAGCTGCATGCAAGGTAAGTCAGCGCTTGCTGCTGGTCCCCACAGGACCGCCGGGCTTGTAATGGGCCCGGCGGCCCTGTTATATATTATCGGCAATATCGGTATCTGAATTTACCGATATTGCCGAAAATACCAAATATCGGCCGATAATATCGGCCAGACCGATAATCGGTCGATCCCTAGATCGTACTCCCTTATTATAGAGCTAGTACAAGCTCAGGTGTGATTTGCATTCATTGGCGTTGATCCCCCACTGGTAGGATATAGGTGATGATATATTTCCGTCAGTTCCTCAGGGTAGAGTTGTAAGGGAGAGAGATGAGGAAAATAGTGCTTTCTTTATAAAACTATTTAAAATGTATAATAAAATGTCTCGTACTCACATTTTAAGTTGCTCACTTATATAGGCGTAGGTGGTATAATCCCCGCTTTGGATTCTTTAGCAAGTAGATCTACACGGATTCTTGGTGACCAGGATAAAATAAAATAAAAATAAAAAGTAAAACAAAAGTATATGACACAGGAAGGGTAAAAGGGACAATTCCTTTAATACAAACTAGAAGTATTTAAAAAAAGCCAAAACGCGTTTCGTCAAAACAGGGCTTTCTCAAATGGCATTAAAAACATTAACCTGGTGCATAAGGGTATGTATGTAAACTTTGGCGCCATAATGACGTCAGCGACATGGGACTCAAAGTTGGTTTATACAATACAAACCGTATTAAAAGATTAATATAACATTTATTGGATATAGTATTAAAAATTGTAATTATGAGTTAGAAACGAGTGTTAGATTTGTGTGTGTGTGTGTGTATATACATTTATATACTTTTGGCCTCAAAAATGCCTCTAAAAAAACACCGGGAAAGAGCTAGAGAGCAAGTAAAATGGGGGTAAGAGTAGGACAAGTGCCCTGCAAACAAATGTGGATAGGGAAATCACTTAAAATAACTTAAAAATTTAAAAATACAGCTGAGCCATAAAATAGCACTAGATGGAATATTTGATTTTAGCTTTGGAAGAACACAAATCACAATCTAAAGCATGGCTGTCAGGAGGATCACCAGAATTATCCATTTGAGAGAGGGTTGGAGTGCAGGGTATTCTTTCATTGTTCAAACTGAGCTCAACTCCTGATGCATGGAGAAAAGGCCTTCACAAGCCTCTGCTAATGTGTACATAGTTTATACTAAGTTACCCATAGGTTGAGGAGGCGGTGTAGGTGGGTAATGAGGTAGCCAACACTAGTGTGTGGAGATATATCTATATCTCTATCCATCCAGTAGAGCGCACTCGGGAGTCTTTCAAGGTAAATTTCATCTGTTTTTATTGAGCAATTACAAATTCACAGTGTGTGTGTGTGTGTGTGTGTGTGTGTGTGTGTGTATATATATATATATATATATATAATTTTTTATTGGGGTAGCCCCCAAAATATTGGGACATATAAAAAGAAAACAACTCTGTTCCGCAGAGTATCTGACATTATAGTTGCGCAGGAACTTTGTTGACTCTAGAGAACCTCGGGCCAATCGCACATCTCCGTTGCGGTGACTCTGCATGCGGATGTCATCCATATCAACTTTCGATGCCAGTTTCTGCGCCTGCCGTGGTGACCATGGGGAATCAGGGTTCCATTCCGTACAGGGACCCTGAGAAACTGCTACCACATGCAAGGAAGGCAGCAGGCGCGCAAATGACCCACTCCCGACGCGGGAAGGTAGTGACGACAAATAACAATACAGGACTCTATAGAGGCCCTGTAATTGTAATGAGTCAATTTGAATCCTTTAACTCTGATTTAATTGGAGGGAAGTCTGGTGCAAAGCCACTGACCCGCGCGTGCTGCAGCCGAAACTCCACTATCGCCTGATGCTGTTCGCGCAGTCTCATGAGGCGGTGAGCGGGAAGGCTGAAGTTACGCTGCAGCGCAGACAGGCGAGCAGCTGCACGGTGACCACTCCAAAAGCGCGTACAGCCGCTACAGTGAATGTCACATCCTGTTCCAAGTTGCGGATCAGTCTGGTGATGGCTTCTGGTATCCAGTACTCAGAGCTTTCATTTAATATCAAATATTTAGCTATGAAACATAATTTAATATGAAAAAAATGGGAGAAAATACGATTTTTTTAGTTCTAAATTGCATTTTAAAGGTCAGTGTCATAATACTGTTTGATTTTACTGCAATAAAATACACATATTTGTATTTAGTAAAGTCTCACGTGTAAGACAGTACCCCTATGTACAGGTTTTATGGCGTTTTGGGAAGTTACAGGGTCAAATATAGCACGTTACATTTGAAATTGAAATTCGCCAGATTGGTTACGTTGCCTTTGAGACTGTATAGTAGTCCAGGAATTAAATTTACACCCATAATGGCATACCATTTGCAATAGTAGACAACCCAAGGTATTGCAAATGGGGTATGTCCAGTCTTTTTTAGTAGCCATTTGGTCACAAACACTGGCCAAAGTTAGCGTTAGTATTTGTTTGTGTGTGAAAAATGCAAAAAACGCCAATTTTGCCTAGTGTTTGTGACTAAGTGGCTACTAAAAAAGACTGGATATACCCTGTTTGCAATACCTTGGGTTGTCTACTATTGCAAATGGTATGCCATCATAGGGGTAATTTTCAAACTTGGGCTACCATAGGGTCTCAAAGGCAACCTAACCAATCTGGCGAATTTTAATGTGAAAAAAATGAAACGCAAGCCTTATATTTGACGCTGTAACTTTTGAAAACACCATAAACCCTGTACATGAGGGGGTACTGTTTTACTCGGGGGACTTTGCTGAATACAAATATTTGTGTCTCAAAACAGTAAAAAGTATCGCAGCAATAATATCGTCCGTGTAAGTGCTGTTTGTGCGTGAAAAATGCAAAAACCGTCACTTTTACTGGCGATATCATCGTTGTAATACATTTTACTGTTTTGAAACACTAATATTTGTGTTCAGCGAAGTCTCCCAAGTAGAACAGTACTCCCCATGTACAGGTTTTATGGTGTCTTGGAAAGTTTTAGGGTTAAATATAGTGCTAGCAAATTAAATTCCCTTTACTTTTGGCATGGGTTGTCAGGCAGGACCCGCTAATTGTAATTTATTAAGATACCTAATTATGTAAAAATATTACATAAATATATGTAGAATTAATATATATGTGTGTGTATAGATATATCTATATATAGAGAGATAGATATAGATATATCTATATATATATATATATTTCGTTCTACTTGTATTTTGATATATATTAATTTCACAATACAGTTAGAACGAAATAACACACATCTATAAAAAAATAATTAAAAAAATATAATTTTATTTTTTAACGTATTTACAATTTTTTTTTATAATATATATATATATATATATATATATATATATATATATATTTTAATCAGTATCAGTCTACGTGTAATTTGATATTAATATATATTTATATATATTAAATAGTAAAATACACCTAGACAGTGTGTGTGTGTGTGTGTATATATATCTATATCTCCAAAAAATCCACAACTGCTTGGCACTCTCCTTACTCCAAAATAGGTGAGAAAACCAACAAAATTGCCTAGGTGCAACCCGCGTTATAAATATATGTAAGCAGACAGGGGTGCACTCACAGGTCTTCAACAAGAACGACAATCAATCGATTGTCGTTCTTGTTGAAGACCTGTGAGTGCACCTCTGTGTGTATGTATGTATGTATGTATATATGTATATATGTATGTGTATATGTGTGTGTATGTATGTATGTATATATATATATATATATATATATATATATATATATATATATATATATATATATATATATTTTTTTTTTTTTTTTTTAATTTATTTAATTTTATTTTCAGCCAGCAGGGGGACCACCTGTCATTACATGCTGGCAATGCAGGAGGCAGCTATCCCCGGCCATGTGATTGTGGGGTCCTCGCAAGGACCCCACTCTCACATGGCCGGGGGGCTTCCAGGGGGTCGGATGTGCTGCGGGGGGCTCCCTGGGAGTCCCCCCAACCACGATCGCCGGCGACCGGGTAAGTAGGAAAAGACCGGAGGGTGTACTATTACGCCCGGCGGCGTTTAGAATAGGGTGTAATAGTACGCTCTCTGGTCTTAAGGGGATAATATGATGTATATTTTTTTTTCGTGCTCAAATCTTTAATTTTTGCATTTAGAAAATGAATGTTTTGCAGAATGCTGCACCATAAACTTGCCTCTTTAGTCCCGCCTCTCACTCCTCAAATGTATGTATATAGCTCCGTACATATTAGGAATGGGGGCGTAGCCTACTTCATTGTGATCGATAAGGCAGATCCTCGTGCCATCTTGGATAGGGAACAGGAGAGGTGGACGGCAAAAGGAAAACCTCTTGGTAGAGGAAAGAAATAACAACCCAAAGTCAAGAAGACCCATTACTGACATATCTTTCGGAGAAATAAATTAAGTATAAAGAAAGATATCACAATTAGAGTGTAAAAACAAGTAAAGCAGTAACAATAACTATTAAAAATAACGAAAATAAATATAAAATGAGTATTGTATGAACATAAGATAAGTGTAAGAACCTTTACATATGAAAATTAGTATATCAATGATGAGCTGTGGAGAAAATGATAAAATACAGAAATTATAAAACATATAAAAAAAAAAAAAAATTATAAAAAGCAGACCTGGTTAGAAACACAAGTTAAAAAGATCAAATTCTGCATTAAGTCCATCTGGGGAGAGAGAGTTTTTAACGGAAAGACCCAATTCATTTATTTTTATGTCTCCACCTCTGCCAGTAGGCAGTACTGAATTACAAAGCATATCTGCATTAGAAGGGAGGATGCTAAGGAAAAACTATAGTAGGGATATCACTACCTGTGTTTCTCTGTCTGCTGCCAGGTTGTGAATTAAAAGCAGCTCACTCAGTGCTGTTGTAGCTACATACATGTGATTAGTAAATCTTTTATCAGTGGGCGTGGCTGAGTAGGCCTTTTTGTGTGTGTGTGTGTGTCTGACTTTAGCCTGTTGACCTTTTTTGTTCTTGCTCTATTCTAGATACGAAGAGTCTCGTTTGCAGATCCAATATATCAGGAAGGATTGGCAGATGACATTGACAGGAGAAGTCCTGTTATAAGGAGTCATAACAGCTCTCCATCCTCTAGAAGTCTCAAAATGTTAACAGCCAGTCAGCCGAAGGTAAAAAAAAATTGATAACATGTTCTATCGGTTTTGCTTTACGTGCTATACAAATACAAGCTTAATTCTCAAGTCACATCCATTGTCTTTGTTTCCCCCTATAATATTTCCAAGTGGAGTGGAATTGCTTTGAAATCATGAATTACTTCCCAAGAGCAGTGTTTTTTTTTGTTGTTTTTTTTTGCTCTAAGCCGCTATAAGATTCCTGATCTATTTTTAAGTCAAAGGTGTACTGCAACATGAAATGTTTTCTCTTCTCTCTTTTAAAAAAAAAAAAAAAATACAAATTCCAGGGTTTCTTAAAGGAACCCTCCAAGGAGTGCCCCTGACCTCATTAAATAAGGTTTGCAGTTTCACTTGGCCTATTAACGGTAGTATGTTTCTTTCGTAGCTTAATACAACTCCCACCAAAGGATTTCTTTCTCCGGGATCACGCACACTTGGAATTAAAAGCTCAAAGAAAAATTTGGTAGGTTTAACTTTTTTCCTCTTTGCAAATGCTAGATATTGTATAAAAGGGGTTTAATATCATTTAAAGGAGAGTACTATAGGTCTCAGTTCTGTCCAGTGGTTTACATAAAAAAATATTATTGCCAAAGCACTGTTTTGTGGTTACAATGAAATGACGTGTTTGATTTCATTATCATTGCAGCCCTTTATGTGCACTTAGTGTGCTTACATGTGGTTGCTGGCTTGCTTAGGATTGTACTTGACTCATTTGTATCTATTGGTACTGTTTCTTAGATTTCAGAAATGACCAAAGAATCTATGCCTTCTCCTAAGGAAAGTGTGTATCCTGCTCTAATGAACTGCACAACACCAATAGATGTCATCTTACCCCAGATTACATCTAATATGTGGTAAGTGGCTATAGTTTTGACCAGTTATAATTAGACGATTAGCATTAACAGACGAGGCATTTCATGTTGTAATGAGATTTGTCCAATTGCTTGTAATAGTTTTAATGAAGTTGAACACAATGGATTGGTTAATTAGAACTGTAACAATAATGGTTCTCATATTGCTCTTTAAGGGCTAGAGGACTGGGCCAACTCATACGAGCAAAGAATATTAAGACTGTCGGTGACCTCAGCACATTGACTCCTTCAGAAATCAAAACTCTTCCGATCCGGTCTCCCAAAATTTCTACAGTGAAGAAAGCTCTGAGAGTGTATCACGAGCAGCAGGCGAGTAGTGTTCATTGCTCTTTAAATGTAATGCATAAATAAGAAAATCTTAGAAAACCTACACTTAAAGTAAACCTGTCATGCATGGTTTGCAGTCTTCCAACCAACTGGGTTTGCTCATGCTATATAATAGTGTTTACTTTAATACTATTAAAAGGTGATATTTAACATTTATTACCCCTGTATACTTGCTAAGAGCGTCAATCTTGTTTTTTAATGGATTACACTTGCTTTAAGACACGCCTCTCCTGCTAACCCCTGTTTGAGAAGCACAGACTTGCTATCCATAGCAGGTCAAAAGCCAACGACCCTTCATGCTGCCTTTATGGTTTGTACATAAAATATGTTGCTTGTGCACAAAAAAATTTATTGATGAAAGTTTATTCCCCATCACCAAAAGGTCACCATAAAATCCACATTTAAATGAAGTTATGGTGCCAAGAAGCCCTGGTCATTCTTACCTTATAAGGTTAAATCGTGCTCCAGAGCAATCTCAAGTAACTGAAACTCCTTTACAGGAAGTGCAGTGTGCCACCGGGAAGGGGCACCGCTGATCCTTTAAGTCAATCTGTAGCTCCCCATTCACAAAAAAGGTAC